TCTCACATTTGGTTTTTTTAGTAATTTTTAATTTTTAAAAATATACAAGTAAATTAAAGTTTGTTAATAAATACGAGTTTGAATCTTTACAACAAAATCACTAGTTCTAAACTGAACCAAATTGTAACAATTTTCTTGCATTAATTGACTTTTAAGTTATAATTAAAAGGTTATAGCCATTAATTACCTTACAAAATTACGAATCTATCTAATTATTAGTTCTGAAAAATTGTACAAGTGCATAAATATTTGCATGTTTTTGTTGACTTGCCATGTGTAGAATATTATAAGACACTTCTAAATCTAAATATTATATCTTTTGGTAATGTGATATATTGAAAAACACTTCTAAATCTAAATATTATAAGACAATTGAAAAACATCACTGCTAAAAATTTTAGTATAAAAAGTTATTTTTTTATTTTATAACTCAAAGTTATATCTTATGGTATAAATGATTACTATTTGGAATAATACTTTTATCTAAAAATTATGTTTTGCAATATGCTGAGGTGTCTTTAAGATATAAAAGTATTTTAATAAAAGAGTTGTATGAAGAGACACTTGCGAGTCAATATTAAGAACTTATTGCTAACCATTTTGACATACAAAAAGAAGATAAAAACATAAAATCCATAACAAGAAAACTATTATACTTTGAATAAAAATTCAAAAAATAAACATAAATGCTTTGAGTTCCTGTCATCTATAAAACGTATCATGATTTCTTATAATTTACTTATTGTAGAAAGTAAGTTTTAAAGTCAAATAACATTACAAATCTTGAATATGTCTAACTGTTTACTCTTGTAAAATGCAAAATAAAATTATACGTTAATTTCATTGTATCCTTAAAACTATTCACATAATTACTTTTTTTGCATATTAAGTGATAGTGACGAAATAAATTTTAAAGACAACGTCTATTAAAATCATGTTTTAAAGTCAATTTTACCAATTTCCTTTGAATTTCAATTAAACCCAATTTACACCAAAATTATTGAGGTATATGTCATATATATAAATAGATTATCAACAACTCAGGGGAAAATTAAACAAACAAAACTATAATTATATTGTAATTTAATACTATTATACTGATTTAATTTATAATTTATACAATTGCTATAATTATATCAACAACAA